CCTAAAAAGCTGCTTTAGTAGATATTACCAAGATCTTTGCAATTTACCGACGAGGTTGTTGTTGCATGATCTTGAAGTTACCGACGAAACCATCATAGGTGTTTAAACTCTTTGTCCACTGCACCGGAAAAGCTACCGAAACTGGGGGAGAGAATATTTATATGTCTTACTGACAAAAGATGCGTGTGTATTGTCTAAATTTACCGACAAAGTCCTCCTCTAAGAATAAAATAACATAAATTAATTTTAATGCTACTATTTCTCACTTTACAAACTTTTTTTTTGTCGATAAATTATTAATTCACCTACAAATCATCTTACATCGGTGATTTTTGGTCGGTGATTTTATGTTTTCTAGCAGTGAATTATGTATTAATCCCTTTGGTCTTATTAAGTTGTCCTACTTCATGTACTTTATGTTAATTAACTTGATGATTTTATATAACAAATAAATAATAATTAAACATTTTTTCAATTTAAGCAAAACTATTCAAAAAGTATTATATTTAGGAGGAAAAAGGTTTTTTCGATTATTATCTTTGTTATATAAAATTATCACATTAAACCTTACGTATAAGTTAAATTAACACAATTAAAATAAATGAGAGAATAATACCTTAAATCACAAAATTTTTTATATTAAAAACACAAATTTAATTTAAGTGTTGCCAAAATTGCCCCCCACCCTCATAAATCCTGGCTTCCCCATTGATGATAACAAGACAAAACACACATTTTATGCTTGTTCTGCATTTAAACTTTCTTCACCCTAACATTCATAAAATTCACAATGTAAGCTATGTACAACATTAGCAAAATAAATAAATAAATAAAGTTTAAAACAAATATATATATATATATAAACTTTTTGGTAACTACATTATTCGTTTGCTTGGTAAGACAGGTAGGGGTGGGCAAATTTTGGTTTTGGCTAAAATTGAAACCAATTTTGAATTAACCAAAATTTTTTTTTTTTTAAATTTTGAGAACCAAAATCGAATCAAAATTTTCAAAAACCGATCGATTTGGTTATCAATAAAATCAGTTTGGTTTTGGTTTTAACCAAATAAACATTAATTAGTTTTTTTTCAATAATAGATTATATTTCATGTAATATTTTAATATATTTTGTCATATTTAACCAAATTTTGGTTTTCAAGTGGCTCTTTTTGGTTTTCAATTTATAAAAACTTAAACTAAAATAATAACACCTAAAAACCATTAAAATCGAACCAAATTCATTTTTTTTGTTCGATTTCCGAGTAACCGTTTGGTAACCCAACCAAATGCCCACCCCTAAGGGCAGGTTCTGAACAAATGGAAAGGGTAGCAAAAAGGGCAGTAGATTACAATTGACTAGGTCTAAGAGTGTGGATTCAATGAGGTTAATGGGAAGAAAATGGATTGTTGTTTCCGGAGTTGAAGGAATCAATCGGA